CCACACATCCTGCCCATAAAATCTGATGCTTTAAGTAGGGCGTGAATGAGTTTAGAAGAACATAATTACACAGGACAATCTGACCCGCACGTCAGTGGAAGTTCTACTAGTTTGTACACCTGCCTCCACACTTCCTCCCAAATAAAGAAGAACTCAATCACCAACGAGCTAACCAGGGCCTACTAAACCATTATCATGTAATCATTAGTATATAGATACTGCTAGAGTAAACAAAAATAGTTTAATCAATCACACAACCATTGCTGCTACATTTACAACATTCATACATGATATCATGTGGCTTCGCAATAACTAATGGCAACACAATTTGCAACGTAACCAATGCTGAAAGTTGCTGATAGTAAGTATGCAGATGCATCAGGCAGTAAAGAAAGCAAACTGTATGTTGGCCTACATAGTGAGAGGATTCAAGTACAAGAACAAGGATGTCTTGCTGCAATTATAAGAGGGCATTGTTGAGGCCACATGTGGAATATTGTGTGCTGTTTTGGTCTCCTTAGCTGAGGAAGGATGTTCTTGCTGTAGAGGGAGTGCAGCAAAGGTATATCAAATTGATTCCTGGGATGGCAGGACTGATGTATGAGGAGAGATTGAGTCAGTTAGGATTATATTCATTGGAGTTTAGAAGAATGAGGGGGAATCTCAAAGAAACTTATAAAATTCTAACAGGACTAGACAGGGTAGATGCAGGAAGGAGACAATAAGGAGCAGCTCGAGTCAATAAAAGTAGAGTTGGAAAAGCACAGCAGGTCAGATAGCAGTTTGTGGGAACTTGGAATGCACAATCTGCAACGCTGCATTTCATGCATTACAACAATGATTACTCTTCAAAATACTTCTACGGTTGGAAAGGAGTTTATGATGGTCCAAGGTGATTAAAAATGCTATATAAATACAATTCTTCCTCCCCATCTTCATCCCATTGGACGATGATCCAAGAAGATTCATCATGACTTTCTCAGTGTAACTGTGGGGTGGACAATAATTGCCAAATGTACCCATATCCTGAGAATAGCATTGAAAGGACCTCAATGGAGAGCGAATGGCTGATAGTTTTCCTGTCTGTGTCATTGTTTTTAAAACCAGCAGATTCCAGTGTTAAGCCCATGAGATAATGTCCTCTGAGTGACACAATCTGCCCTATGAGACTTTACTTTCCATACTTCCCCTCAAGAATAATCATAACAGTAAGGGCTGAATGAGAATGGAAACATAGAAAATAAGAGCAGGAATAGACCATTCGATCCCTCGAACTGGCTCTGCCATTCATTATAAACAAACTGATCATTGAGCTCAATAAAGTGATCCCACCCTACTCCCATATCCCTTTAACCCTTTAGCAACAAAAGCTATATATAACTCCTTCTTGAAAATATTCAATGTTTTGGCCTGAACTATTTTCTGTGGTAGTGAATTCCACAGGCTCACCACTCTGAGTGAAGAAATTTCTCCTCATCTCAGCCCTAAAAGGTTTATCCCTTATCCTTGAAATTATAACCTCTGGTTATGGACTATCCCACCATTGGGAACATCCTTCCTGCATCTACAGTCAATAAATATGGAGCTGGAAAAGCACAGCAGGTCAGACAGCATCAGAGGAGCAGGAAAGTCAATGTTTCAGGCTGAAACCCTTTGTCCAGGATGTGGATGTGTTTGGCAATTATTGTCCACACCACAGTTATACTGAGAAAGTGATGATGAACCCTCTTGGACCATCAACCAATGGTATAAAGACGGAGAAGAAGAATTGCATTTATCTAGCATTTTTGATCACCCCAGACCATTATAAACCCCTTTCCAGCCATGAGATTATTTTGAAGAGTAGACATTGTTGTAATGCAGGAAATGGAGCAGTGGAGATTGTACACTCCAAGTTCCCACAAACTGCAATGCGATTATGACCACATGATGCATCTTAATGATGTTACCTGATAAACATTGACCAGGCTATTGAATAGTGCTTATCACAAGATCTTGCTTTAACATGTTATCCAAAATATAATGTCTCCAGAAATCTATCTTCCCTCCAGTGCTGTATCCCATCACCTTAATTTCATTCACACATGGGACATGGGCATCACTGGCTGGGCCAGCATTCATTGCCCATCCCTGGTTGCTCTTCAGTAGGTGGTGGTGAGCTGCCTTCCTGAACCGTTGCAGTCCACATGCTGTAGATAAACCCGAAATGCTCTTAGGGAGGGAATTACAGGATTTTGAGCAGGTGACAGTGAAGGATGGTGAGTGGGTTGGAGTGGAACTTGCAGTTGGTGGTTTTCCCATGTATCTGCTGTCATTTCCCTGTAGATATAAATGGTCATGGGTTTGGAAGAGGCTGTCTAAGTGTGCCTTGTTGAGTTCCTGCATTGCATCTTGAATGTTGTGCCCATGGAGTGATACTTGAATTTACAACTTTCTGATTCAGAGACAAAAACACGATGTATGGCTGACACTGAGAAAACTTGAGGTATATTCCAAGATCACAGATTTCATGCAGATTTCCAGTCTCTAAATCCTCTGCCACCCAATCCTCAGCCAATGGCCTGTCCCTGTTACAAAATGATCTCCAAAGAGTAGCTCTTGCAGAAAGAAAGAATCATTCTGATAGCCACAGACATTGTGGTGTAATATTGTCATTCTATGTCAACATTCTTTAGGTTGGTTTGATGGCCCTCTCTGAGTGATAGTTTACAGTAATAGACCATTCAGCCCACCTTGTCCATGATGTTGTTATATTTCACCATACATCATAAGCATATAAGAAATAGGAACAGGAGCAGGCCATTCAGCCCCCTCAAGCATGCTCCACCATTCAATAGGATCACAGTTGATCCAACATTCCTCACATCCACTTTCCTGCCCCTACCCCATAACCCATATATTCTCCTATTGATCAAGAATCTATCACTCTCTGCTTCTCTGTCCCCACAGTCCTCTCTGGTAAGGAATTCCAAAGACTCACAACCTTCTGGAGAAGAAATTCCACCTTATCTCAGTCATGAATTGGCACCCCTTTATTCTGACACTATGCCCCCTGGTCCCATGCTCTTCCATGAGGGGAAACATCCTGTCAGCATTTACCCTGTCAAGCCACTTAAGGATCCTATATATTTCAATTAAATCATCTCTCGTTCTTCTAAACTCCAGCGAGTAGAGTTCTAATCTGTTTAGCCTTTGCTCATAAGACAATCCCTCCATGTCAGGGTTCATCTTCGTGAACCTTCTGTGAACTGCCTCCAATGAAGTGATATATTTCCTTAAATAAGGGGACCAAAACTGCTCACAGTATTCCAGACATGGTCTCACTAGCACTTTGTACAGTTACAGAAAGACTTCCCTACTCTTGTACTGTAACCCCCTTGGAATAAGGGCCAACATTCCATTCTCCTTCCTGATTACCTGCTGCACCTGTGTGCTAGCTTTCTATATTCCATGTATAAGTCCCTCTTAGTCCCTTTGTGTTGCAGCTTTCTGCAGTTCTCCATTTAAATAATATTTTGTTCTTTTGTTCATCCTTCCAAAATGAACAACTTCACATTTCCCACATGATATTCCATTTCTCAACTTTTTGCCCATCAGACACAATTAACATATCCTCTGCTCTTTCTCCATCAGCTATTTTCCAGCTTCTTTTCAGATAATATCCTTCCAGGAGAGAGTTTGGATAGACAATGGCATTACCATCACTGAATTCCTCACCATTAACATCCTGGCAGTTACCAATGACCAGAAGCTAAACTAGATCTACTGTATAAACATTCTGGTTACCAGAGCAGGTCAGAGGCAAGGAATCCTGCAGTGAGTAACTCACCTTCTGATTTCCCAAAGTCTGTCCATAAGGCACAAGTCAGGAGGGTGATGAAATACTGCCCACTTGCCTGGATGGGTGCAGCTCGAACAACACTCAAAAAGCTCGATACCATCCAAAACAAAGCAACCCACTTGACTGGCACCACATCCAGAAACATCCACTCCCTCCACCACTGTTGCTCAGTAACAGCAATGAGTATTACCTACAAGATGTGCTGCAGAAATTCACCACCAAAGATCCTGATACAGCTCCTTCCAAACACACTACCACTTCCATCTGGAAGGACAAGGTCAGCAGATACATGGGAACACCACCACCTCCAAGTTCCCTTCCAAGCCACTCACCATCCTGACTGAGAAATATATCACGTCCCTTCAGTGTGGCTGAGTCAAAATCCTGGCACTCCCTACCTCCTCAAGAACAGTGCGAGTAATCCTACACGAAACAGATCGCAGTAGTTCAAGAAGGCAGTCTCCACCACCTCCTCGAGATTTATTGAGGATGGGCAATAAATACTGCGCAGGCAGCCACACGCAAAAGTGACGATTAAAAATAATTCTCTTAATCAAATGTCTTCATAAAGGCCTTTGTTGGGTCACCCCTGATTTCCCCTTTTCTAGTTAGAAGAAGCCCAGGTCTAATGCCTCTGTTTAGAGCAATATTACACCTGTGGGGTAGATATCTCAGCTACTTAATTCCTAACCAGTTCCATTGCACTGCGACAATCCACGTGTCTCGCTTTAGGACGCCGCGGACATCCGCAGCTGAGCTGTCAGCTCCCAGGAACCGAAAGGAAATCGATCAGGAGAAAGAAGGGGGTGGTGGGGAAGCGAGTGGTAGAGGTGGGGAGAAGCAGGCAGAAATCGCCACAGGGTGGGGGCAACACAAGGAGAGGATTATAAGCGGAGGGGATAGAGAGCTGTCAGGGGTTAAACAGTTCCCTCCTGAGGGTGGGGTGGTGCGTGGGAGGTGGAGAGAGTGAAGGGAGTTGTGATTGTAGGGGGTGGGGGCAACACAGAAAATCTGGCGTGAGAAGGTCCTGATCTCTCTCTCTCACACACACACACAGGCTGACAGAGAAACACCCACCACCAACCCACCCCCCCCCCCCCCCCCCAACCTTCCGCTGGAGAAAGCCCTGACCCCTAAAGTGACAGGAGACACCGTGATATTAACACGGGGAGGAGGTGGAGGCGAAGGAAATTGACAGACATGAAACTGATCGGCGGGGAGAGCCGAGGCCAGCAGCTGCCGCTTCACAACGCGGTTAGGAACTGCAGCTCTCCCAAATCCCAGTAAAGCGACCGGAGAAGGATTTCTGTCATTATCAAAAACAGCATTCTTTTGATTCGGTTTTAATGTTAATAGCATGATCACCCTGGAACTGCCGAACTCGGAATTCGCACAGAGAGACCTGGCTCACTGGAGTTGGGGGTGAGTATCTTTGTATCTGTTTGTATTTTACTGTGTCTTTGCAACAATGTTTCCTTTCCTTTGTTCTTGGTTAATTTGTAACAAGATTTTTCAAAAAAAAAAATCATAGGGTTACAATGTATCGAGCTAGCGGATGTAGCGATTTCGAGTCCAGCTGTCGACTTCTTGTCTATGTCGTGAAGTGGGGAGTTAATTAAAAGGGTTTGTCAAATGACTACTAGAAAACAAGCGAAAAGAATAAAAACAAACTGAGAATATTGCTGAAGGTTAGGAATGGGATTATATATAATTGCCTAAACAGATGAGCTGTACTTGAATTTACAGATTGTTTCTCCCCGTGATGTAAACTCTCACTGGACCTTGTTTAGGCCTGGGGTTGCACCTCCGATTAATTTTGCCTTGCACTTTATTTCATCGCTTTCTTTTTAATTTTTTTTTCCTGCCCCCACAAATCTGCTTCTCCAATTGCCAGCTGTCACGGAGGGAGATTCGCTCCCTTGAAGAAACTGATCAGAATTTGGGTTAAGAGTTGTGGCTGTTTTGCCTCACTGGCCTTGGGCTAGGGTTTAGAAGCACCAACGTTCCTGTGCTACATCGCTTATCCTCAGGGAACTGTGCGCGCGTCTGTGAGGCTGGAGAGAAGGAGGGAGTGTTGTTTCTTTCACACCAGGCAGGCTTGCTTGCATTTATATAGCGCCTTTCACAATTAAGTGTTTCAAAGCACCTCACAGAATTAATTCCCTTTCAATACGAGAATTGTAAGTCAGTCTTGCAGCCTCCCTCAAATAGCAATGCAACTGTGGCCAGACAATCTGTTTATGTGATATTGAGAAGGAAATAACGGCCAGGGCACCAGGGAGAACTCCGAAATTTCTTCAAAATCGTACCACCTGTAGGAGCAGGAAGGCAGAGCCTCGGTTTAACATTTCATTCCGGGAGACAATGCAGCACTCGCCCATGGCACAACAGTTGTAGAGGGGAGCATGTGACTGTGGCACAAGGGGATGTGGGGCCAGGAAACAAAACAAAGAATTTACTGCCCATGCTAGGGATCTGAAACACAAACACGCAGAAATTGCTGGAGAAACTCAGCAGGTTTGGCAGCATCTGTGAGAGAAAACAGAGTTAATGTTTCAAGTCCATCCCTACATCAGAGCTGATTGTAGCTGAGAAAAGTAGTATATTGCAGAAGATGGAATCGACCAGGGGAGAGGAGTGTGTGGATAGATGAAGATGGAACCCAGAGAGGGAGAGAGAATGACAGTCAGACAGAGGGATGGATAGAAATGTAGAAACATAAAAGATAGGAGCAGGAGGAGGCCATTCAGCCCTTTGATTCTGTTCCACCATTCTTCATGATCTTGGCTGAACGTCCAATTCAACAGCCTAATCCTGCTTTCTCTCCATAACCTTTGATCCCATTCACCCCAAGTGCTGTATCTGGTCACCTCTTGAATACATTCAATGTTTTGGCATCAACTACTTCCTGCGGTAATGAATTCCACAGGCTCACCACTCTTTGGGTGAAGAAATGTCTCCCTATCTCCATCCTAAATCGTCTACCCCAAATCCTCATACTGTGACCCCTGGCTTTGGACACACCCACCATCAGAAACATCCTCCCTGCATCTACCCTGTCCAGTCCTGTTAGAATTTTATAAGTCTCTTTGAGATTCCACCTCCACCACCGCCACCCCCCCAACCCCTGCCTCATTTATCTGAAGTAAGCCAGGCAGAAAGATAAGCTGGTAATGGGCTGTGCTCAAAGTAACCCATGTCAAGACAGGGCCAGGAGTGTGGAGGTGGGCATAGGATGTAGATGATGCTGTTCAGGCCCTAAAATTATTGAACTTGATAACAAGTTCTGAAGGCTGCATGGTTGTTAGGTAGAAAAGGTACAGCACAGTGGCTCAGTGGTTAGCACTGCTGCCTCACAGTGCCAGGGATTTGGGTTTGATTCTGGCCTCGGGTGACTGTCTGTGCAGAGTTTGCACATTCTCCCTGTGTCTGTGGGGGTTTCCTCCCACAGTCCAAATTTGTGCAGGGCAGGTGGATTGGCCATGCTAAATTGCCCATAGTACCTGGGGATGCTTAGGCTGGGTCGGGTAGGGGTAGGGGAATGGGTCTGGGTGGGATGCTCTTTGAAGGGGCAGTGCAGACTTTTTGGACTGAATGGCCTGTTTCCACACTGTAGGGATTCTATGAAAATGAGATACTGTGCTTCCAGGCTGCACTGCAGGAGGCCTGAGACAGAAATGTTGGTCAGGGAACACAGTGGTGTGTTGAAGTGGTAGGCAGCCGGAAGCTTGGGATCATTTTTGAAGACAGAATGTACATGTTCCTCAAAACGGTCGCCCAGTCTGTACATCTGGTTAAAACACACATGTGGATCAGAATCCATTGGTGGTAATTTTCAGTTCAGTTGCCACATTGTTGTCCTAGTGGGTTGAAATGGAATCAAGACAGGGGGCACACCAGGTACTACTACAAGGAGGAGGCACGTGTCCCTGAATAATAACAAGGAGAACGATGGCGTGGCTGTGAAGCAAAGTAATCTTGTCACAAAACAGTGAGCACAAAGCTGGAGGCTGAATTATCTTCACAGTAATCACTCCCACATACTCATTATTTTTAACAGTAATAACTTGTGTTATTTATACAGCAGCGACACTGAAGTCGGAGCTATCATTAGAGAGTGGGTAGGTTTGCAGGTGTCGTAGGCAATGCTGCTAGTCAATGCAATAGGCAGTCCACTCTGAAAAGATTAATTATCTGATTGAGCCTCACAAATAGCTGTCAGTCTAATGCCTGTGTGTCTGGCAGTCCTCTGTCTTGAAGGATACATTACTGTAAATAGTTCATAGATCCAGTTAAAGTATCAGAAGAATGGAATTCAAGGATGTTAATTATCACGAACAAAAGTGTATTTGTATGCAAGTGGGTTTTCTCCTTGCATGAAAGCATGAAACCAACAATACAGAAAAATGAATAAAGGACAAGAAATGTGTAGGAGCAGGAAGGAGATGGTGGTGCGGTGGTATTGTCACTGGTTACTAATCCAAGCAAATGTTTTGGTATCACTGGTTTAAATCCCACCATGGTGGCTAGTTGAACTCAGTTATTGAATCTGGAATGTAAAGTTAGTCGTGGTAATGGTGACTATGAGAATCAATTGTTATTACACCCCATCTGGTTCACAAATGATAGGAAATCTGCCATCCTTACCTGGTCTCACCATTGTTGACTCTTAACTGCCCTCTGTTGGCCTCACAAGCTGCTTAGTTCTAGGGATGGGTAACACATGCTAGGTTTGCCAATGATACCCAGGGAAGTATGAAGAAAACAAGAATGCTATTCAGGTATCCTTCAATCAGAATGCAGCTGATCTGTAACTCAACTCCATTCACCCAACTTTGCTCTATACTTCTTAAAATTCCTATGTCATACATTCCTTACAATCGCAGTCTTGAAAGTTTCAATTGAGCTCCAGCCTCAACAGCCTTTTGGTGAAGAATGGTTCCAAATTACTATTCCCCTTTGAGCGAAACCCTTTCTGATTTGACTCCTGAATTTAATTTGAAAACTGTACAAAATTATTCTGCATTCCCCACAAGAGGAACTGCCTGATCTGCATCTAGCCTCACAACACCTTTGCACATTATTAAATGCCTCCTTTAGATCGCCCCTCATGTTTCTAATCACAACAGGGCACACATCAGGTTTATGTAACCTATTCTCATTATTCTGTGCCAGCAGTATGCTGATCAACAGGCATTTTACCAAGACCTTGCTGGAGTCCAGAATTAAATACAGCATTTATATTGCTCCTTTCACAATCTCAGGAGGACGCAAAACATTTTGCAGCCAATAAAGTATTTCTGAGTATTCCTTGTGCATATTTAAAGATGGGATAGCTAGATTTTTGATTAGTATGGGGAATCCAGGATAACAAGGAAAATGCAGGAAAGTGGATGTGAGGAATGTTGGATCAGCCATGACCCTATTGAATGATGGAGCAAGCTCAAGACACAGAATGGCCTACTCCTTTTCTTATTTCTTATGGTCTTATGGTCTGAATAGTCTTCATTGTGTAATGTAGGAAATTTGACAAGCAATTTATGCGCAGTAAGGCCCCACAAAAAAATAAGAAAATATCTGTTTGTGATGGCAGTCAAGGAATAAATATTGGTCAGAATAAGTCTTCAGAAAGTGTATGGGGTCTTTTACAGAAAAGACAATTTAAGGTTTCATCAGAGAGACAGCTTCTCTCTATGTAGCGCTCCTTAGATACTGGCATGAATTTTGTGTTCAAGGTCTCAGGAGTGATGTTTGAACCTACAACCTTTTGATTCAAGGCAACAGTGCTACCCATAGCCATGACTGATGCAGAATCAGGGCCTTGATTTTATTGGAACAGGGTGTTTCGCAGTGAGTCTGCGTACCCTTGGCTGCTTACATTCACTTTTTGAAACATATTCTCCACAAATTTGTTGGAAGTGTGAGAATATAACAGTGTGGTGAAAGTTATGGGACTGTTGACCCATAGATACCAAAGTCTATTTCCTTTATCAATTAGATGGAAAATTGAGAAATAAAGAGGTTAGACTGAGACCGAGATGAATTCCTGTCTAATCAGTTACACAAAGTAAAATCGGGATGTGGGGAGGGTGGTGTGGAGAAATGATTAGATTAAGAGAGAAAGAGAAAAGAAATAGTAAAGAAAACCAAGAAAAATTACTTTTAAAATTGATCATTTTGAAAGTCTCCCCAGAAAATTCAAGTCCTGGGTGAATCAATCTCCACATTTACAGTCATTATCTTTCTGGGCAGGAGAGTTTGGCTGGCAGTAATTAACAATTATCACATTATTAAAAGGGGACTTGTGTTTTTAATTACTAGACTTAAATTTCTGTGGTGCATTTGATGGGTAATTAATGTTCACATGCAACAAACTTCAAGAAACTCGCGGGGAGGTAGAGTGAGATGCTATTTACATGAAG